ACGATGTTCTGAATCAAACAACATTGGACCCCACTGACATTCATTGTTTGTACCAAAAACATTGAAACATTTCTCAAAATATCTACATTTTATCTGCTTTAGACATACAGGTTTTAAGAGAACAAAATATATATGTATATATTTTACATAGAAATACATAAATAACCAGAGTGCATTTCCTATTCAAGTTCGCAAATTCTTCAAAGAAATAAAATAAATTTTTTTATTAATAAAATAAAAAATTATATTCTTTATAATAGTATATAATACATTTTTATATTTAATTTTATATTACATATTATATTAAATTATATATATATATATATATATATATATATATAATTTTATTCATCAAGGACGCCTTAAATTGATAAAAAAAATAAATTTATAATGTTACAGTAGATTTCTATTTCAAATAAATGCTGTTCTTCTGAACTTTCTGTTCATCTGTGAATCCTGAAAAATAAAATGCATCACGGTTTCCACAGAAATATTGTGCAGCACAACTGTTTTCAACATTGATAATAATCAGAAATGTTTCTCGAGCAGCAGATCAGCATATTATACTGATTTCTGAAGATCATGTGACACTGAAGACTGGAGGAATGATGCTGAAAATACAGCTTTGATCGCAGGAATAAATGACAGTTTAACAGATATTCACATAGAAAACAGTGATTTTGAATTATAATAATATTTCATATTTTTTATTTCTGAACATCTGAACGTGACACAACATCCCGTCTGATTTACAGCAGCAGCGGTCATTAAAACTCACAGAGATACTATTAAAACGAGAGTGTCGTCCTGCTGTCTCTCACAACACCCCCCCAAAAAACACGCAACCTGAAACCAGCGGCCGTGATGAGGTGTCATTATATACGGCTGGCCTCACGTAATGACAGAACACATAAAAGACAAGAGACAAAGACAGAGACGGACGCGTCTCACTCCCTTCCCCCCGTCTGACTTTCCTCCTCCTGGTTTCATCATGACAGTCGGATCAGAGTTAGGAAAAGATCACAAACACGCTTTATCCTTCAGATCAGAATCAATCTCTCGGCTGACAGAATCAGCAGCATGTGCACGTGCCACAATGAGGGATTTTCCACAGTTGGTGCGTGACAATTAAAGAATCATTGCAGTTGCAAATTGCTTTTAGTCATAATTAGGTTTTAAGGGCTTATTTTGCATGCATTTTGTAAACTGTTGAGTGCATATTAATCTGACCAGAAAATATTACTCAGTTGGTTTGTTTCTGCCATAGAATAAAAAAAAATTTAAAAGGCAATTGCGACTTTTTATCTCAAACTTCAGCCTTTTTTTCATGCAATTCTGTGAACGGTGAAATACAAACTCGCAATTCAGAGAAAAAAGTCAGCATTGCAAGACAAACTCAAAATTGCAAAAAAATAAATAAAACAAATTGTGAGATATAAACTCAGAATTGTGTGAAAAAGAGTCAGAATTGCAAGATACACTCTAAAAAAATGCTGGGTTGTTTCAACCAAGCTTTGGGTCAAATATGGACTAACCCAACATTTGCATAAAAAATGTAATTTAAAAATTTAACCCAACAGCTGTGTTAGTCCATATTTGACCCAAAGTTGGGTTGAAACAACCCAGCATTTTTAAACTCAAAATTCAGAAAAAAAATTCAAAATTGTGAGATATAAACTCAGAATTGCAAGAAAAAATAATTGAGATATAAACTCAAAATTGCAAGAAAAAAAGAATTGTGAGATATAAACTCAGAATTGCGAGACAAACTCAAAATTCTGAGAAAAAAGAATTGCAAGAAAAAAAGAATTGTGAGATATAAAATCTAAATTCAGAAAAAAAATGAATTGTGAGAAATAAACTCAGAAATGCGAGAAAAAGACTCGGAATTGCAAGAAACAAAAAAAGACAGCATTGTGAGATATATAATCAAAATTGCAAGAATTGTGAGATATACAAATGATAAAGCACAGCATTTAAAACATCAATAACACCCTTAATGTGCACCCAATGTGCTTCTCACATTACTCATGAAATGGCAAAACAAGAAATATGCAATCGCTCAATGCATCTAATTTAGTTGAAGCACACTGCATCATAATTCTGACTCTGTTTCCACGCTGCTGCTCTATATCGGGAAAGCAGAATGGACGTGGTCTCTATAAATAAGAAGCTCCAGGCCTTTAATCACATCAGCGGATCGCCTGACTGAAGCAGCTCCTGAAACCATTCACTGACCATCTCATTCAGAGCCCTCGTCTTAGTCAGGCCTGTCACCATCAGGAATTCTGCACTGACAATCAATTGTCTTACAACACTGTAAAAAACTAATCGGTGACATTTACGGTAAAATACCGGCAGCTGTGGTTGCCAGAACTTCACAGTTAAAAATATGGTAGCAACATTTTAGGTTTTACAGACTTAACTTGAATTCACAATAAAATACCGTGTTTCATTTACTGATGTAATGTTAATAAACCAGCATACTGAAGTACTAATAAGTGTCATGCAGGGAATTCTGGGAGTGTCAATTTACGGGTTTTCACTGTAAATTATACAATGACTTTTTCTTTTTCACTCCCAAAAACCGTAATTTTAACAGTATTTTACTGTAAAATTACATTAAATGTAATTACAGTTATTCACCGTGTACAGTATATAGTATGGAAACTTACTGATAACCAGTTAACAGGTTTTTACTGTAGCATTTTTACAGTATTTTACTGTAATACATACTTTTACAATTTTTTTACAGTGAAATAATTGTGATTAACGATTTCTTTGTTTTGTTCATGTCTCTTACAGTGTAAGCGTTAAACATTCGTGTTTTTATGCTATATTACTTTTTTCTATATTTTACAATAACTTAATATAATAAAATAAGCACATATGATTTTCTTTAATGCTATGAAAATTAATAATATTTATATAATTCATTATTTATAATAATATATTTAAGCTCTTAAATTTTTTGATGGCTTGAAATGACTGAAATTTTGTGTTATTTTAATATAATTGAGATACTATTACAGTTATTGTTAATATTTAGAATTAGATTTTATTTGATCTGTTCTGCTTTCTTGTTAATGTTAGTTAAAGTTTTAGTAATTCTGTTGATTTTTCTGTATTAAAATGTCTATACAGTTTATTAATTTCAGTTTTAGTTTATTGTTTTTTAGTACATCGAGTTAAGCTAAATTAAAACGAGAAACGCTGCCTTTTTAACTAGCTTTTTATTTTATTTCAGTTAACATTTATTGCACAATTATTGCAGTTATCTCAAAATAATTGCAAGTATATTAAATAACCACGACAAGACAATTAATTAATAATTGCGACAGACCTAGTCTTATTGTGATCGATTCATCAGTGCATGTTAATCTGAAGAAATGAACAGAATGTCGGCTGTGCATGAAGACATTAAAGGCACTTGCACACTAGAAAAAAAATACTTCAAGAAGCGTTTGATGGATAGGAAGGCATCCGATGCATTTTAGGATTGTGTGGAAATGTCAGAATGCATTGCATTAGCAGGTTTCAGATTCAGCTGCATGTCAGATGATGACTTTCACAAACTCCTGTGACGCACGCAGCATTCCCATCAAAATCAATAAACTTCCAGCACGCAGCTACTGTACTGCAAGCACTCCCACGCGCGTCAGCCGACAAATACGGGCCAAACGTCTCTTCACATTCGACTCAGCGTTTGGCCGTAACAGCTCAAACCAACACACACACACACACAGACTGCTTCATCAAACCCGACTGAGCTCCTAAACGTGCCGCTCAAACAAATACATGAAAACTCTACTGCTGAAGAAGAACTACGGTAAGTTTAAGATTCAAACTAGTATGAATGTCCAAGTGAAGTTCACTTCAACTTCTCTAACTTGACTATTTTCACATCGTGCAAAATCAACCGAAGTGGCAAAATGTGTGTTTAACTTACTACTAATAATAGTTTGTTAACATGATTGCATTTAACAAATATGCAAACGTTTCTCTTGAATTCACTGTAATTCTGACACATTGTGAAGTGCACTGTGAAAAGTGATGTTCTTGGTGTTTTTATCTTGTTTTCCAATACAAATACCTATACATATTCTTAAATTAGGATACTTTTACTTGAGATGCAAAATACCTGAAATGCATTCAAATGAAGCGCATTTACGCTTAAAACAAGAAATAAAATCAGTCAATAAGACAAAAAAATCAAAAATCAAATGGAAACAAGATTAATTTTCTGACTCTACTGGCAGATATGTTTTCTTGTTTTAAGGATGAAATGCCTGAAATGCATTCAAATTAAGCGAGTTTAAGCTTAAATGGGGTCAGAAAAAAATCAACTTCATTCAAAGTGGAAAATTTTTTTATTTTTCTGACTCGACTGGCAGATATTTTTTCTTGTTTTAAGGATAAACTCGCTTCATTTTGGTACTTTTTTTTCTTAGAAAACAAGTTTGAGAAGCAAAATTACTTAAAATATGAAGTCTGGTTTTCTAAAAATTTTTTTTTAAAAATTGTATAGATATGAAGCGAGTTCACAAAGCTTAAAAAAACAAAACAAAATATCTGCCAATGGGCTCAGAAAAATTAACTTTTCCCCCTTTGAATTACGTAGTTTTTTTTCTGACCCCACTGACTGATATTTTCTTGTTTTAAACAAACTCGCTTCAATCTGATAGGCTTCTTTTTTTCAGAAAACAAGACTTGAGAAGCAAAATGACGTTAGATATTATGTGAAAAGTATGTTTTTGCTTAAAACGAAAAAAAAAAATCTTACAATGGGGTAAAAAAAAAAATCTCCTTTGAATTAAGATTATTTTTCTTTTTTTAAGATATTTGAGCGAAGTAAAACTATATAAACAGTCATTTGCTCTGAAGATATCTCATGTCATTTTGCTTCTCAAGTTAATGTATCTTCTTGATTTAAGAATGTTTAGATATTTGTACTGGAAAACAAGAGGAAAGACTAAGCGCAGAATAACACAAGCTCTTACCACTTTAAAGTGATCCTCGTAGCTCCAGTCCGCTTGACCGTTTGGAGAAGATGCTGAGGGTCGCCCGACGGGTGAGAGATCGTCCTCGGGCTCCTGTTTGACCCTGACGGCGGGAGACGGAGCTCTCTGTGCGTCTGCAGGGGCCCCGGGGTCCGAGAAGCGAACGGCTCTCTGCTGCAGCGCCAGCGTCTGCTTCCTGAGGAACTCCAACCCGTCTTCTTCCTCACTGCCTTCATCGCCCTCCATCATCCCATCATCATCGTCTGAGTCTCGGCCCCGTTCCTCCTCGTGTTCCGAGTCCAAACTGCTTTGATTGGAGACACAGGACGGATGTCCGGCCCCAGAAGAGCCGAGGCCCCTGCTCATGAACCCGGCCCCTGAAGTCCGAGCGGCGGCTAGAACAGCCTGCTGAGCCGCGAGCTGCTGCGCGTATATGATGTGAGCTTCACGCAGCCTGCGCTCCTTGTGCTCCACCTCC